TTTTCTTGGCGCTTTTGAAAAGTACTGTGAATTTTAAATTTTGACCTCCTCAATGTACCAACGATATTCACTTTCCAATCGAAAAAGATACTGAAGTTCAAAATCGAAGCATTATTTCGACTACTTATCGTGTACACAGACACAAAAATAATAAAATAATAAAAAAACACACATCATTGTAAAATCAATACATTCATCGTTTCGCTCAGAATCAAAAAAATACAAAACTATTTTATGAATTTGGAAAATGAATTATCAAAAATCGAGTCCTTTAATTTTATATAAAATATCCATAACCATCCCTTCAAAAACATTTAAACGTAATTACTATATAATATACATTAGGTAATCATTGTGTTAAAAATATAAGAATTTATAAAAGTTAAAACTTATATCACAAAATAATTAGTGTATTGATAGTTACGACATCCGACAAATAGTAATTGATTATATAATTTTTTCCTGAAGAAGTTGCATTTAAAAATATCATGTTTGTATAAAATATAATAATATAGGTACTTTTCAAGCTTTCAAGTAGCCAAGAATAATATTAGATTTTGAGTGGAGAGAAAGAATGTATTGGTTTAACAATTATGTGGTTTTTTTATGTCTGTAAGCAACATTATGGATGGACGGATGGTACCTACCTAAACCTAAGTATGCTTAGATTTTCGATAAAAAAGTGAATATAGTTAGAATTTTTGGGAGGTCAAAATTGAAAATTCCAAGTAGTTTTAGAAAGCTTCGTGTAAAACTACCGACAAATTACTAAAAAACCGCTAAAAATGGGATTTTATTTCTAACGTGTTTATCACCATACCAACGAATAAAAAAAATAATATTATTAGGTCTACGATAACCAACCAGAATCATTTTTCGTATACAATGGTTTATCATTTTATTTAAATATAACACATCCATTACAACTACTGTACGTCTGTACAGCAGAGCGGTACCCACTTGTCCAACATTTTTTTTAAATGTTTTAAATGTTTTAAAATTTTTACTTCCCACTAACAACTGTCAACAATATCATGAGTATCCATTTATTAAATTTTAGGTATTTTAAAATTATTTATCAACAATAATTTAAAAATATTTAAAAATCTACGGTTATTATTGTTTGACATGATCAAAAAAAACTATAACGATTTTATCAAAAACTGGTTTCCTGAAAAAGCCTCGTAATTTCTTTGTGACCATGTATTATTAATATTTTTTAAAAGTCATTGTATCAATAATATAGTAGGAGCTTTGTATTAAATGTTCAAGCTTTTTGACAAAACGAATAAAATTTTATTGACATTTATAGACAAAGAAACTAAAAATGTGTGCAAGTGGGTATCGCTCTGCTGTACTGTAGGTACAGTAGGTTACAAGTGAGTCACAGTAATATATGGTGTACAATTTGAATTCAATGATCTAATATCTTTGAATAAGAAAAATAATTCTGATCGAAGACGACCAGTCAGCCTATAATGGTGAATTTATAAAAGAGTGCATGGAGGTGGCCTCTGAAATTTTATGTCCAGCACAAAAACAACTTTTTTCCAAATTGAGTTTATCAGGTGTAACTGTAGCAAGGCGTATAGAAGAACTAGGAACTGATATTGAGAGCACCCTAAAAGAACGAATTTCAAAATTTATTTTTTATTCGCTGGCCCTTGACGAAAGTAGAGATTTGTCAGATACTGCTCAATTAGCAATTTTTGTTCGGGGTATCGATTCTAATTTTAATATCACTGAAGAATTAGCCGCGCTTTTACCAATGAAAGGCACAACAAAAAGTTGTGATATTTTTAATGCGTTAATATCGACACTTAACCGTTTTGACATCAAATTAAATAACCTTTCTGGAGTTATAACAGATGGAGACCCATCAATGGTTGGAAAAAATGAAGGGCTCGTAGCGCTAATTAAGAGAAATGAGTACATGTGGTGCAATATCACTGCATTATCCACCAAGAAAATTTATGTGCAAAATCTGTCGGTTTTCAAACTATTATGAAAGATGTTGTAAAAATAGTAAATTTTATCAGATCAAGAGCATTGAATCATAGAGAATTAAAAAACTTCCTAAGTGAAATAGACGCTGAACAAGGTGATGTAATCTATTTTACAGATGTTCGTTGGCTCAGTAGAGGAAAAGTCTTGAAAAGGGTTTTTGATTTAAAAAACAAAATTTTTGAATTTGCTGCAAGTAAAGGAAAAAAGTTTGAACAACTTAATGATACAGAATGGAAAAATGATTTTGCCTATCTCACGGATATTACATTGCACTTGAATGAGTTGAATTTACGCTTGCAACGTCAAAACCAATTAATTCATAATTTATTCGACCATATTAAAGCTTTTGAAAATAAACTTATGCTGTGGGAAATCCAGCTAAAAAAAAATAACACAACTCACTTCCCATGTATGTCAAAATACATGTTACTTCAACAGAAAAATATGCAGAAGCAATTTCTGATTTAAAACACCAGTTCAAGTTGAGGTTCTCAGATTTCAAAGCTAATGAAACATATTTTAATTTGTTTTCAATTCCATTTTCATTACCAGTTGAAGATGTCCCAGAAAACATGCAAATTGAGATCATTGATTTACAAAACAGTAAAGTATTAAAAGAAAAGTACAATTATGTTGAACTTTCAATTTTTTATTAAAAATATATTAACACAGAGACATATCTTAATCTTCGAAACAACGCATTAAGAATGATGTCTCTTTTTGGCAGTACTTACACTTGTGAACATATTTTTTCACGAATGAAAATTGTCAAATCGATAAATAGAGCTCGGTTAACTGACAGACACTTGGAAAGTTCACTCAGAATTGCCTCATCGCAGATCCAACCAAATATAAACAAATTAGTTAGTGAAAAACAGTATCAGTTATCACACTAAAAATAAAATAAAAATTTTGTAATTAACAAAAAATGTTTATCTATATATGTTTTAATAATAATAATAATAATAATAATTTGTAATTTAAAATCTATATATGCTTTAATAATAATAATAATAATAATTTGTAATTTAAAATCTATATATGCTTTAATAATAATAATAATAATAATTTGTAATTTAAAATCTATATATGCTTTAATAATAATAATAATAATAATAATAATAATTTAAAATGTAATCTTGAAAATTTTAATAATAAAACTGAATTTTTGTATAAAATACATGTTTTTACTACGAATGCGGCCCGCAAGATTATTAAAAAATAATACGTGGCCCGCTGCATAAAAAGGTTGAAGACCCCTGGTGTAACCCCTACCTACCTCTGACTATGTAGGTAGACATGTATGTATTATTTTTTACCTACCTTAATATATTTTGTTTACTTAATACTTGCATAACATTTTAAAAAGGTTGAATTAGTTAAGTTATAAATGTGTAATTGTTTATAAGCCACTGCTGATGTAGGTAGTGTACCTACAAATATAAAATTGAAAATAATAACAGGGCTTTTCAGTCATCGATGAACTAGACTACCAAACTAGACGTCCAACATTGTTTTTGCACCATTCATGTGAAGTTACAACAATTTCTTTAATTGGATTTTTAAACCGTTAGCTTCATAGTAGCTTAAGCTACCATTTCATATATTATTAAAATAATCATTGAACACTAGTTCAATTTGTTCCTCTAAAAATAGTTATGTCTTTATTAAAAGTACAATACATAAATTAATGTTAGAGCATGAAATTTTAGTAAGGTACCTACCTATTTTAATTAAGAATCTTATGTTTTAGTAAAAATAAAACATTTAAGTAAGATTGGTATTTTGTTTCTATGTTAGGAAGAACCTAGACAATCTTTTTAGCTAACACAAAAGGTGTGTACAAGTACAATACACTTAGTCCAGTAAGAAATGTTCACTCTGAGGTAGGTATAGCGGTATAGGTACCTACTAAAGTAAAAAATAAAAATAACTGTGTAGAGATCACATTCTACATTAATTTATTGAATTATAATAACATAATAATATTGTTTAATATTAGTTAGGTACCTTTTCCTACTAAACAGTTATTTTAATTTGTTTAAATTAAATAATATAATATAATATTTAAATTAATATTATATTATTAAATTTAATTGAATTATTTGATAAATGATAAAAAAAAAGCGGGCAATTTGAAATGGGCCAATGAGAACGTGGTATACATAAGGCGCTCTGTGGCGTCCTGGGTTTCCTAATACGCGGCCGGTCGTATGAGCGTGAGTGAAAATAAATTCATGTTTAAAATACGATTGGCCACCTATAAGCTAGTAATAATTATAGACGTAATTTAGGCCGCTTATAGAAGTGAAAATCTCGATGGGCCGATACATACCAATCCGGCCCTGGGTATACACCGTAGTACCGTACATATTATTCCGTCGATTAATTAATTGGCAAATATTAAATATTAAACAAACTTCATAAAGATGTGTACAACTAACGTTTTAACTGACTATATTAATTGAATTTTAAAGTTGTAACACAATTTAACAATAGACTTAAATACAAGCTAATTTATAAAATAAAATTAATTGTATTTTTCAAGCCGAATAATACTTTTGTTTATATACAATTATAACGTTTGATAACAGTCGGAGAAATGCTTACACCACAGACATACGTATCACGAGTTTCTGACATACCATTTAATTTGTCATGCATAAGCCGAGCAGGAATATTATTGATAAGATACGTCCACCGAGGCCCAAGGATATTAGATAAAGAATATTACAACCCGAACACCGTGGCACAGTCTTAGAACACGTCACTAAAATTCCAAGACTCCCACATACAAGCATGGAATTTAATATAGCTTGTACCAAGATCCGCGATATCAATCCAGACTACTGACAATATATTATCTATAATCATGCAGTGGTTTACATTATTGAATTCAATACATTTCAATTTTCAGTCGCGTTTGAATAGTTAATTCATGTAAACGGTTCTTGTATATTTTGTACAATTATTTAAATCTAAGCTCTATCAAAATGTATACAAATCAGTACACTCCTCAGAATTCACGGTATGATCGACGATATCAGCAATATCCATGTTATAACCATCAAATCTACATTAATTATTATAACCAACATCCTTCTTATAACGCTCAACCGCTGACGCAAACAATTGCGACGTTAACAAGTTCAAACGTACCCACCGTCCAACAGCCACAAGTATCAACTCCAAGACAAAATGTTACAAGTTTGTGGATGGGAAATGTATGTGAAATAATTTATAATTTGAATTCGGTAAAAATGAAGCATTATTATTATAGGTGCAACCTTTTATGACAAAGAGGTTCATCACATGGGCATTTCAAACAATGGGGGAATATCCAATAAAGGTCATGTTGAGGCAGCATAAACATCCTTCCATGACTCCTGGTTATGCATTTGTTGAATTCTGCGATCCAGGATCTACTATGCATAAACTCAATGGAAAATATATACCTGGTACTCATCCAGTAAGTTGTAATTTAGCATTTAATTTTCCTATTCATATTCACACGGGGTAACTGAACCAAATTGGACAGTTACCTATTATATTATCTATTGACTACCAGTCAAAAAAATCCACAGTGGACGTAGGTAGCCTCTTCTATAGGTAGTTTGTCTATCCAACCAATAATAAAGTAATAATTTTGCCCAATAAATGCCTGCTACTACAAACGTTAAGTCTTTTAATAATAATACTAAATATTATGACTAATAACACAAGCTTGATATAAATAAGCAAAGTAATCTTGTATTTAAAAATAAGATTAATTGATAAGATTAAATGATAAAAAGCAGGGGAGTGGATCTCGCTCTGCTGTACAGTAGGTTACAAGTGGGTCTCTGTATAATGGATTGTATTAAATTTGAATTCATAGCTATCATATATCATTATATACTTAAAACGATTCTGAACTGATACGGTTTTGTTAGTCTGGATATTTTATATTGCGATTATATTTTATTATAGCCTGTAAGTTGAAATAACATTATAAATTACAACAAAATAACTAAAATCATTATTTTTATTTTTATTCGTTTCTATGATGACAAACAAAGAAATTAAAATCCCATGTTTTGTCGGTGGTTTTTCCTTTTTTACAAAAAATTACCTGTCTAAATTACCATTTTGATCCAATTTGCTAAAAGATCAGGTAATATATGTTAAAATCAAAGAACTCTATCTGGTAAAAATTTTGTATACATGATAAAAAAAAAAACACTGTTGTAAAACACTTGTAAAACCAATAGATACCTCGCTCCGCTCAGAATCTATAAATTCAAACAAGTTATTTGATCATTTGATTATACAATATTATTGCCAGTATAATTTACTAATTTATAATTATATATTATTATATATGTAATATTGTTATATTATTATAAATTATACATTATAAGAAATATAATGTATATCGTATAAAAAAATGAATTAAACATAAGTTGTTGTTATTATTAAAATGTTAAATAGTAAGCATAACATTTTTTTTTAAACAATTAATAGAAACCTTAAGAATTTTTTTTTAATAAATCTTAGGTATTTATTTAAAAATGTATTACTTAAATAGTTTTGTACAATTATTTGCAGCCTTTAAAATTTAAACTCAATCACGCTGGGAAAATTAATACGAGTGATAATAGTTTTTCTGTTTGGTGTGGCGAACTTAGCTCAGATGTAGATGATTTTCAGTTATATAAAACATTTAAATTCTACTATCCATCTATACATACAGCAAACGGTAAAACTTAAAAATTTAAAATTATATGTTTTCTGTTATTAAAAATAATATTTATAAATGCCAGGTTTACAATAATAGTGGTTTAATACATAATTATAACTTTTCAGTGGTCTTCGACAGTTACGGTAACAGTAAAGGATACGGATTTATTCGTTTTCTCAGTGAAGAAGAATTAAAACACTGTCTTAAATATATGAACGGTTTTCTAAGTCTTGGTTCCAAACCTTTAAAGGTTAATAGTATCAAACCAAAATCAAAACGCCATATTGTTGTGTAAGATGATTAATTGTTTACTTATTTTTTAATTAATTCATAAAACATTCAAAAAAAGTATAACAGTATACTAATACTTTTCTTCTTTTTAATTGATTATTTTTATAAATAATTAATACTGGTTAGTGGTTATATTATTAATGTAATAACTATACTCCTTTTCAAAAGAGAATATACTGGTTGGTGACCAATTTGTGTCTGGCGGCACTCATTTCCCACCAATATCCTATTGTTAGCTTGATCACATGGTTCTCGATGCACCAATTGAATCATTCGACAGGCGCGAAAGCAGTATATTCTCTTTTGGAAAGGAATAATTTTTAATTTTTAATAATTTCTAAACTATGAAAAGGAAGCTTTGTAATGCTTTGTGCAAAAAATATTTTATTAAATTAATTAAATTATTTTATAAAATATAATATTGATTAATTAAAATATACTATCGTATACAATAATTTAGTTACTTATGTCTAGTTAAGTTAGATTACTTAAAAATATACATGTATTAGGTATTGGTATAGTATTAAATAATGTTGTAGTCTAGGTAATTTATTTCAATATTATAATGTATCTATTATTTTAGTTCTTCAAATGACTCTCGAGGGTGTAACGCTAGTCAAAGTTATATACAATATTCTAAAGCAGTTGGTTTTCGACCGGAAAGTGAGAATTGTTTACTTAGGTTAAAACCAACCATTGGAACCACAGGAAATTCAAATCAAGTTGGTATGTAATTAAATCTGAATAAAATACAACTAATTAGATTTTAAACTTAAAAATAATGTTATTTTGTATAATTTTTTATAAATTAAAAATTTTGCAGATAACGAAAGGTCAATTGACCCTGTCACAAATGAATACAATTTATGGAGGTAGGTGCTCCCAAACTTTTTTAGCTCGCGGCGCCCGATTTGAACCAGAGTATTCTTAGAGCACCCTATAAGTCATATCATGACTAATCGTAAAAAATTATGGATCACTTTGGGAACCGCTGATTTATGGGATGCACTTTCAGTTCTAAATGCCTACCAATCCACACTGGAATTTATTAAAATAATAATAACATCAAATATTTAATAGCATTTAACCAAGTTTTTTTTTTCAAATTTCTTATTTCTTGTTTTTTTTGAACAAAACTATTATATTTCTTAGAAATATAACTTAAGATAACGGAAAATACTATTAATAAATATAAATATTGTTCAGATCATTATAACTTAAGTTTGATATGCAACTAATTGTATTATCTGATTATTATTTGTATGTATAGATGTTGTTCTATCTTTAATAAAAAAAAAATTGTTATAAATTATTGATTCATATTTAAATTAACTAATAAAAATTAATATTTATTCTATTTGTATACCAGAGTTTTAGTATTTACCTACTAAATGGTTTTAGTAAATCTATAATACCTTATGTTGTAGCTAACCATTTTTTTCTAAAATAATTCCTTATATTTCCATATTTATACATTAATGATTAAAGATGATTTTATTTGTCAGTTATGTAATTATAATATTATGATATATCTAGGTTAAAATATTAATCCACAATACAACGTTTCCTGTATTATTTTAACTTATATTCTTTAATTTAAACTAACACTAATTAACTAATTATGAGTTGCTTTTTTTTACACTAAATTGAATATGTATTAAAGTGTGATTTTATTTTTCAAAATAAAAAATGGTAATACTAAATCTAGGTTTATATTTATACATTTTAAATTGACTATCAATTACCTCATTTTCCAAAAATAAGTGACTATACGATTATAATCTTCTTGATTTAGAAAGTAATGGTCAAAATTTGGTCAAAAAAATTATTTTGAGTACAATTAACTCAAGCAAAACTTATTTTAAATTTTTATTGGTAGGGATGTTCACTATATTAAACACTTTGTAAACTCCAAATATTTTTTAGTTGGGTGTTTTGGTAAATTATTATTCTGTTTATTCTTATGGAAATCAAATAGTGTTACAACTTAAACTAGTTTAGAATTTATCGTGATAGGAGTTTGTTACCAGAAAATGTAATTTCAATGGGACAATTAAGACGAAGGATACATTCTAATGCTAAAGTTGTTAAGAAGGCATTATTGTCTACAGAATTACCTTCTATTTTACATGATCAATCAAAATATCAGGAAAAATGTTCAAGTGAACATAATATAAATGAATATACTAATATGAATATGAATTTTGTTGATAGTCAATCTTCAAATTCACATTGTTCTGATTCCTTAGAATATTGCACAATCCCTAAAGTTATTAAAAAAAATAAACACCTAATGACCTGTAATGGCTGTAATATTACATCTGATTCAGACAATTTTCAAGAAAATTTATCATCGTGGGCTGTTAAAGAACAAATAAACCATAATTCATTATCAAAATTACTCAAAATATTAAAATCACACTCTTGTTTTAATAATATTGAAAATGGACTTTTATAGGAGGTACCCGGGAAGGTTTTTGTTGTTATGGTTGATTCTAGGACACTTTTAAAAACTCCACAATATATTAACTTAAGAGCAGTGTATCCTGGTAAATATTGGCATTATGGTCTATCTAAAAGAATCTTAAACTTTTTGGAAAACAATTTTCAATATTATGAGTAAAAATAAAGTCATAGAAATTGTCATTCATGTCGACGGTTTACCTTTAAATCGTTCTTCAAACAGTGAAGTTTGGACCATATTGGGATCAATTTTTAACTTAAATTTAGTTTTTATTGTGGGACTTTATTACCTGCGTATAAAGAAACCAGAAAATGCATCAATTTTTTTTAAATGAAGGCCAACATTTAGTTGAAAATGGAATTATCTTTAATAAACAAAAGTATGAATGTGTGTTCAGATAAATTAGATAAAAAATCAAGATTCAGTAGACTTAAAAGTGCGATTAAATAAATATGGATACTAGTATAAATTTATTAAATTATCAGAACTGGTAGCTGACAAAAGATATGAAGTTACTGCTTTTGAACTTGTTAACATTAATCGGCAGGATAAAGTATCTGTTGTATTGGATAATAAATATAAGCTCATTTTACCAGATAGATTTTTTAAAACTATTTCTGAAAATATATATGAAGTGAATGATAAAGAGTGGTCTACACTTTACCTTTATTACAGGTATAAAAAAATACTTGATAATGGAGATTCATACCATCGTATAGAGTTTGAAGGTAATTCTTTTGACACTACTGTAATTAAAGTATTAAAGAAATTAAATGAAGAAGATTACAAATATACAAAATTATCTGATTTAAATATCAATGAACTTTATAAAATAACAACAATTAGAAAAGTAGATACAAAATATATTGAAAGAATTTGATAGAATTTGAATAATCGTAAGACCAGCGCTTTGCAAAATAGCAATAAATTATTAAAATTTTTCTCTATTAAATTAAATTAATTAAAATCTTAAATGGGTCTATTCATTTAGATCATTATATACATAATAATGAAGAAAATATGTCTATTGGATTATATGCTTTGTCATTTACCAATTCTGGTGATTTAGTCAAAATAGAAAATGATTGTCAGATAACAATTAACACTAACGTAATTGACATCAAAAGTGGGCTTTATACTGTTGAAAAGTTAAATCAATTAATAAAACCATTAATTATCTCTTTTGTTGATAAAAAAATTAAAATAGAGTCTCCATGTTACTATAATCTAGATGAAAAATTAAAAAAATCTTTAGGTTTTAAAGACATATATTATTTTGCAATTACAATGACAAAACAATTTTTTACTATCCCACTACTGATGAATATTACATAAATATTGAACAGGAGTGTGAGTTTAAAGTAGAAAAAGATTCACATAAAATACCTATTGGAGTATATTCTATTAATGAAATTCAAAATTTATTAAATCCAGACAAGAACGTTGTTAATACTAAAATTACAGGCTAATAAATATTTAGTGATTTCAACTAAACATGAGTATGTTTTTGACTGTTATTTAACTAATTGTTTAGGAATTCCATTGTTTAATTCTTCTTCAAGTTATAAAACTGAACAATCATTTAAACGAACTGTAAATGGTACACTAATTCCAACATTTTACACTCAATAAGGTTTCCTAAAAGGAATAAATGGCGTTAACGAAACAGAAAATAGCAAAACTATAATAGGAAAGAAAAATTATACTATTGATCAATTAAATAAAATACTACCATCAAATATAAAAATACAACAATCAGATAAACAAATTACAATAATATCTAGTATTTATTATTTATTGGATGAAAATTTAATATCAAGCTTAGGATTAGGTAAAAAATATATCCATAAACATATTGGTTCAGATGTTATATTCAGTAATTATTTTGAAAATAAGTTTATCGAAGTAGGTACATTGCAATATAACTGAAAATTCCATTTCTAACCATAAAACTAAGAAATATTTGCATACAGACGATGATATTTTATGTGTTGTTAAATGTGATAAGAGTCACCAATATATAACTAATGACATTAAATATATTCCTCTAAATGAAATAGATTTTAAACATATTAAATTATTTATCACCGATCAAGATGGTATTGAAATAATATGTAATGACTTTGTTGCATATTTAATTCTAAAAACATAGATCTAGATAGTTCTATAAAATGTTTATAATAATTTCAAATTCTAACATGGTCGAATAATCCGACCATGTTAGAATTATTAACAAGCCCTATAAATTCTCAGTTATTCTTTAATAAAATCGTGACCGGAAAAACAGATCACATTATAGTTTTCAAATTATTCTATAAAATTATACATTTTATATCTATTTTTTACACTCACCCAATACGGGTGAGTGTTAGATTCTTTGTAAAAACTCGTAAATTCTAATAAATTCTATATTTAACGCGTGCGTAAATATCGCACACGTCATTTAATTTTAACTTTAAATAGATTTTAGATAATTTTTAATATAATATATTGTGTTCTTAAATAGGCATACCTTTTTCCATTCAATTATCAATACGTCCATAACAGAATAAATTATCTGGCCTATCTAACATGTTTAATAAAGATATTAAAATATAAGTACTTTTGGTTGTATTTAGGTACCTATTATATTTTTATATTTTTTAATTAACAAATTAAGAATTTTTTTCTTTTGCTTAACTATATTATCAATATTTTCAATACATTTATTATTAATAATAATTCTTTCTTTTTTGGACAAAGATTCCAATTGTTTATAAAGTTTACCCATTATTTAAATATAAATTTATATATTAACGTGCATCGATTTTCCGTGCACTAGATATCAAACAATCATAAAAAGAATGGAAACGTATTTAGAAAAAAATATGTTAGTTTATAGAAAAAGTTACAATTATTATTCAAAAGTCAGTTTTTGTTTACTAGCTTTAAAATTGTTTCTAAGCATGGGCGCCAGGTTTTCCAATTTTCATGGGGTGCCTAAAATCCTAAATTATCTAACTTGTACCTAATCAAAAAAAAAAAAATCAACAAAGAGTGTTAAATTAAACAAATTAGTTCCTCTTTTATTGACTTTATTTTTCTACATTTTTACAGCGTAAGACAAATAAATTATAACTTATATACAAATAGGTAAGCAAAAATTTCTAAGTTTCTAATAATGAATTAAAATAGCTTAACAAATTTCAAAGGTATTTTGTCTCACTTTGGTGGTCTTTATAAATTTGTTAGCAATATTTTCAATATTTATTTCTTCTTGTTTATGTACATTTAATAATGCTACATCATTAAGCCGTGTTTGCGTCATTGTTGACCTTAAAAATGTTTTTAAACGCCGGAGAGCAGAAAAAGAACGCTCAGCAGTACACGACGAAACTGGTACGCGGTTAACATAATTTTAATTAATTTTAGAATTTCTGGTACCAAATCTTGTAAGTACACTTCTTGTTTTAAAAAATCAATTGCGTCTGACACTGATGATATATTAAATTGTTTTGCTTTAGCGACATCTAACATAATAGGTATTGCGATGCAATTCTAATTTTGTCCCATCGAAATCAGAGCCATAGTAGGTATTCAATTATAATAGATGTGTTTATTTGTTGAGGATCTACTATAAAGTTTTCTACTGTAGCAAGATGTTCAAGTACGTTGCTTTGAAACCTGTTATGCAGAGCAGATAACGTGGTATCAAGTATACACATTAAAAAAATAGTGCTCTATACTGTTCTTTAGCTGACATAAAGTAATGTTCCTGTCCCCCTTCGATCAAACGTTTTGGAGTTTTTCTATGTTTAGATAGCTTGACTTCGCCTAAGCCTAGCTCTTCAGATTTATTAATTATAACTTCCCATAATTGGTCAAACCAGGATTTTCGTATTTCTTCTATAGAATCTTGAATTTTTAATCTTGCATCTTGAAAGATTTTTTTTGCAGTTCCGAATTTAAAACTTCTATTCTCTCAAAAATAAATATCATAATTTTCAACATAAAATAAAAATCAAATTTATAAAGTAGTTTCGAAAGTCCACTAGCCTTAGCGCCTATTTAATTTTTTTCCTTGGTCAGCTCATCACGAAACGTGCGAAGTAAATTATAATTTAAAAAAACTGGAAGATTAATTTTGTTTTCATCAGCAGTTTTACAGATTGAACAGAACGCCTTTTCTTTCACGGGGTCATATAACAACCACGGATACAATTGTAGCCATTTTTCCTGAAACTTCCTTGATTTTCCAAGTTCAACTTGTTTTTTAGAATCTCCAATATTCGAATCAATTTTTAACACAGAAGTTGAACTGTTAAAAGCCTCGTTAGATTGATATGTTCCTTTAACTGATTTTTTTATTAACCACTTATCCATCTTGATAGGTATTTTTAAATATATAAAAATAACTGTAATAATATTCTAAACAGTACAACGCAGCTGACCGAACGCAGACTAATTATACTACGGTAGTACGGTCTACACTTTAGTGCTCTACAGAGTAGGTAGGTAACTAAATATAATATCGTTATCGTCTCAGTCGTCGTCGGCGGCACGGCCAAAATAACAAAAAAACCCAAAACATATATTATTTGAAAATTATCATTTCTACATGTATTATAAATGTATAATATTAACGTATTAAATATTTATATGTTTTATTTATTTCATGGGGTGCTCAGCACCCCATGTAATTAACCATGGGGTGCTCAAGCACCGCAGCACCCCAATAGTCGGCGCCCATGTTTCTAAGTACAATTGGCCCAATTGGTTATTTTGTATTACCTTTATTAACAATGTTTTCGTTATTAAACGGAATTATAGAAATTTTTGAAAAATCTTATAAGCTTAATGAAAGAATTATAGAATACAGAATTTGTTATAAATTTTATAATCAATTGATATTGCTGTATAAATCTAATAAAATAATCGAGGATGGTATATGTTTAAAAGAAGCAGATTTTAAAGAAACTATTAACTTTTTTCCTAGAGAAAAATACTTATAACAGACACAACTTAACGGTTACAAGTATACAGAATAATTAAACATTATATTAATTTAATTTCTTATAAATGGGAAATATATATTGTGTTAAATGTAAACAAAAAACAGATAATATTAATCCACATATAATTATGAGTAAAAATAATTTAAAAAGATTGTCTGCAAAATGTAAAAAATGTAATTCTTTAAGAAGTTGTTTTATTAAAACATAAAATATTAACTAATTTCTATAAAATTTATTTTTTTTTAAAAATGAAATATATATTATAATAAAATATTAAATTGTGATATTGTAATATTGTTTACAATATAATATAATTTAATAATATAATATAATATAATATGTATTCTTAAATGTACCTTTTTCCATTGAATTACCATCAAGTACCCGTGGCCTGATGGGTTAATGCGTGTGCATGTGTCCTGCCGGTAGCGGGTTCGAATCACTAGGAAATTTTTTGCGCTTTCAACTGTTCTAATGGTAATAAATGCCTCCGTGCGCTCATAGCATGAGCGAGTCCAGATGCCGCCGCCGCGTGCTCCTAGCATGAGGGAGGTCGAATTGATGAGTGAGCATATCAACTTCAAATAAAGTTTGAAAAAAGTCAGTTCCTCAAAATCGAAATAATATATTTGGGATACCAAGTTAGTGTTGAAGGGATCAGTTCAAATCCAATAAATGTGTCGGATATTTGTGATTATCCGGTCCCAACTAATCCCAAAGCTCTTCATAGTTTTCTTGGTCTAGTGTCACATTTTCATCATTTTATACATAATTTCTCTGTTATGACCAAACCATTATTTGATCCATTACGGAAAAATGTACCCTTTCATTTAAGCAAGACTGGGCTTTAACGAGTTAAAAAATTTAAAATTAATTTGATCTAAACTTTTTAACTTAACTAGTTAGTTTTGGACTTTCATTAACATAACTGTTCACTTACTAAATTTCATTTTTAATTAACATGAAATTAACTAATTAATTTTTCATTTTAAGAAGTAAGTTTAGTTATTTTATTTTGTTTTGAATTTTATTATATTTCACTATTTAAATATTTCATTTTTATGAAAATATTCACCTTGAATTATTTAAAGTTAAAAATGTATATTATTCCAATATAATTTATATGGAAATACTGTATAAACTATGAATTGGCATAAACACTATGGTCTATAATTTAGTTTTGGGTTGCAAATCTAACGTATAAGCAAATTACCTTTTTTTAACTTAATAAAAAGTTATGAAGACTTGTGTATTAACTTTTAACTTAATTAAGTTAAACTATAATTAAATTAACTTTTAACTTTTAACTTTATGTTATTGGTGCTTATCAACATAACTTAACTGAGTTAAAAAAAATCTTTAACTTGCCCCGCCTTGCATTTTAGCATAGACAAATTAAATTAATTTGAACAAATTAAGAGTAAGCTTATATACCTATATCTCTATTTTATGTTCGTTTAATCCTAAAGCTGAAACTCAATGTTTCCAGTTTAGGATTTGGTTCCATCTTCCTTCAAAAGCAATCTGATAAACTTATTAACTAAATTAAAATATTCTACTTATACTTGCAGGGCATTATGTTTGAAATAATAACTGATAGTAATAGTATTATTTTAACTCCCAAAAAGAAGGGTAATAAAATTGATGTTCATTAGCAAAACAACAGAATCAATATTTTTCAAGAATCTATATCTAATTAAAAATATACTATTAGGTTCATTTTTAACATAATATATTTTAATGAATGTACTAACTACAAATAGACAGATGATTATTTATCCACCCATGGGATAAGATTTAGAAAAGAAATATAGACCTACATAATGATATTAAAAACACAATCATATTTTCCATACAATAATTTTACCTTTTTGATTAATTAAACATAAAAAAAAATATTTTAGGTGAGAAGGATTGAGCTAACAATATATTTTTCATTTCGTATAAATTAAACACGAAAACAAATTGTAAAAAAAAATTATTTTAGGGTGGGAGAGGGAGCGTACAATACATTTTTTATTTTGTCTAAAATAAACATAAAATAAATATTCACCTCAAAATAATAAATTATTACATCTTATATATTTATATTAAAATGAAACATTATTCAGAAAAAAAATATATCTGATTCTATTGAATAAATAAAGAGTTTAAGAGGAGAAGATGATACATCTGTATCCCTTGGCTAATGCCATAGAATTTATTTTTATTTCTTAAAGATTCCCTGTTATTGTCATAAAAACTTATAGATATCATATAATGTATTTAGTAATTTTGTTAATAAAATATTAGAATGTATGTATATACTGAGAAAAGGAACAAAAAAATAGTAATTAAATACATTTTTTTGGACCTTCCCTTAAATAACTAAGTGGTTGCACCACTTGCTCCTTAGCTATACTTCTGTTTAAACTTCACCTTGTTAGCTATAGAAATATAAACCTACAATATAATAAAAAATCCTAAAAATATCGATATTTCAATCATAAAAGTATGTATAGTTTCATTAAAAATAACTCAAAAATTACAATTTCTACTTTGATATAGTTAAAATAAACATTTTAATGTTAATGTGATTATAACATTTTATTCTAACTTATTCTAATAGAGTCTTGGTATTTAAAAAAAAAAATATATTTTGAAATGAGACTTTTGCCCGCTAAAATAGCGTTTTCTGCAATAATGACGATGTTGGCCCCCCTGTCGACCGAAGCCAGTTTATGTTTGCTGTCGACTTAGGTTAGGTTAGCTCCACGTACACATCACCGTTTTTTTTTCGCTCCACATATTTAACCGACGGTGATCGTTATTGTTTTTCGCCAACAAGTACGCCGAGTGTCGGATCATACATACTGCATCTTGTGAAAAGAATTTTGGTATTGGCCCGAAGCACGTTGCGACCGATATTGTACATCAGTCACGAAAATTGTATTTCAACGTCGTCACTCGGAGATACAGGTAATTTTTTCGTATCCATATAATTTCAACATAAATAATCAGTAAACTATGTATAAAAACTCGCTAACCTTACACATTAGTTGTAGACTTAAATATTTGTAGCCGCCAAGCTAAGTTAAGTTATTTGTATTAAATTATCGCACTTCATCAAATACAAGCAATTATAAACAATTTCTATTCTAATGAATTTTAGAAATTAATTTGTCCCATTTTCCACAACTTTTCTAAATTGAGCATTATTTTTTTTCATAGCAAGGATTTATATGTAGTAGACTGAATGGTTTTTTGGAACATAACTCATTTTTTTTTAACATTTTGGATATACCTAGTGTAATGTTTTATGATTATCTTTTATTTTATCGAGTGAAAAAGTCGAAATTTTTCGTAAAATTACATAGATAATACTCGTGATGTCACGAGCTCTTATATTTTACTTAGGTCTGCGCCGCGATCACTGTGATGGATTGTTATTATCAGTGGCGTAGACACTAATTTCTATTGTGGGGGATATATACACCCTAAAAAAAGTAGCTAATTTTTGTATAAAAAAATGATTTTATTTTTTCTACACAATGTGTCAATCTACAGTAGGTGTAATGTATATTTCTTTATTGTTCTTTCTGATTTTAATTGTAGGTGATGTTTTTTCACCTGTACTGCTTTTAAAATTGTTTTTTATATTACTCACATTGATTTTTTAAATATAAAAATGAGTTGACAACAAATACTGTAAATGTACAGTATTTGTTCACAGTTCACACTTTACACTTCACAAATGAAAATATTATATTAAATATAAAACAATAAAATATAATTTATAGGGATTTCACTATTTCAGTGTAAATATATATTCTTAGCTAAGCCCGTGCACTTCGTTGACCTTAAAAAATTGCAACTCTTAAAAAAGTTATGATTGTTTAATTCCTTCTGGGTGTAACTTGCTGCAGTAAGTCCAACTCAGCCACCCTGGTAGGCAATATTCAATAATTCAATTTGATACAAGCTCGAATATGTGAGTCAGTGGTATTTGGATTTTATATAATACATAGAATAAAGATACTTTATAAAAATACAATTCGGGTTAAGTGGTGACACTCAGTAAGGTATTTGGAACAACTCTGTGAAAAAATATTGATAAAATATTAAATAGTGTCGTCAAAAAATTGGAACACTAAAAAGGACTGTTCTTTGATATACGTATAATATAAGAATTGTATAACATTGAGATAATTATATTATAATAACTTGATAAGAATCACGATTATAGATAGTATAAACAATTAATGCACTTAATGACTTATCAGCTTATTGGGAAAACAAATTAACACTGGGAGCGCTGTCGACGCCTATCGTACTGATGGTCGGGCGGGGTTCCCCCCTACATGCAGCCGGGACTTCGGGATTTCGAAT